ATGCATCGGCAGGACGCTCTACAACGCCTGCCCTGGAAGTTCGTAGCCTCTGAAACGGAGTTTTTGAGGTTACCTAACTGTTTTCCAATAATCACCTGGAAAGGACTGCCTGGGACACTTTAGAAGTACAGGCCTATGAACCCCACCTCTAGAGAATGGAGCCATTTTCAGTCATGTTTGGGGAACACAGACCTAGGGGAATCCCGCATTTTACTGATGGTAAACGAACGACTCCTCAAGGCTGCACGGGCCTCGGCCCAGCTAGAATGAGAAGTTTCCAACCTTCAGGTTAAAGGGCATGTCTACCACTTGGCTCTGGCTTTCAGATGCAGTGGTGAACTCTGCCTCTCAAGAAAAAATAATAGATGCAGTGGTTGAATGGTGGTCCCCCAAAGATACGTCCACACGCTAATCCCTAGCACCTGTGAATTCAACCTTATTTGGGAAAAAGGTCTTTGCCGTGTAATTAAGTTAAGGCTCTTGAGAGGAGATCACCCCAGGTTACGGGGGGGGGGGGGCTCATTCCAAAGGACAAGTGTCCCTATAGGATAAACGCAGAGGGAGACACGACACAGACAGAAGAGGTGGCGAGGTGACCAGGGAGGCAGAGACCGGGGGACGCCCGCAACCACCAGAAGCTGGAAGAGGCAGAGAACAGGTTCTTCCCAGAGGCAGCATGGCCCTTTGACACCTTGATTTCAGACATACAGCCTCCAGAGCTGTGGGAGAACACACACTGTGGTTTTAGTCACCCCAGTGGAGGGCATTTGTTATGGCAGCCACAGGAAGCTAACACTACACAATATGAACTTTCTTTAAACAGACCTTCCCCCAACTTCAACAATCTGTGCAGCCCCAACCCTGGAACTCGGTGTCTCTGATTTGCTCTCACTGGTCTAAGCACTGACGGAATCCGTTTACTGCACCACCTCAAATTCTTTAGTCAAATAGCACCATCCCATTACCTGGTACTGTATCTAGGTAGAGGCTTCTGGTAATGATGGTCTGCAGTTCACAGGCTTGCCCTGAATTAGGAAGGTGTGATGCTGCCATCATGGAGGCGTACGTCTGCCTACAATTCTGGCGATGAGCCCACTGTAGTTCAAGGAGATGCTTGGACCGTGCGTTACCAATGAACCTCAGAAACGTTCCCATTGTTTAGGTGAGTCAATATTTGAAGAATCTCCACATGAAATTCAAGATTATGAAAAGGCTATCTCCCATGACATATAATCACTGTACTGGAAGTGACATCGGATATGCCACCTGTTTTTATTCCAGATGGAGAAAGCCCACCGGAAGAGGGCCAGGTGGACCAGGGGCCGGGGTGGGAGGTCTGAACCTGAACTGGTATGAACTGAACAGACCCTCAGCTCACTGTTTCCACTGCAAAGAAGCCATTTCATAAATTACACAGTGAGATCTTAGTCATTACAAATACAAGCTAGCGATGGTCACTTCTGAGGGGCATCGCCTCTTTTGATCATCTAGGAGAGGCAATCGATGAACCACCGAACCCCCAGCAGCCCACCTCTGCAACCGCACTGTGAATTGATGCTTTTAGAACCAGAACAGAGGGGAGGGAGGAAAGACACACATGAAGCAGAGAGCGTTTAGGGAGACTGTCTCCTTCCTCCCTCCTTGTGCGGAGAATGGCAACACATTTACCATGAAGGCACTGGTCAGAACTACTGCCTTCCTGTGGGCTGTTACAGCAGCTCTCGTAGTTTATAGATGTGACGAGTGAACCTGTGACATCAAACCACATAAGAAGACAAGGAAAATAAGGTTGTTACATTTGCAATATGTGAAAATCAAAAGCGTATTCACAATTCTCATCAGACCTTCCTAACATTCCTGTGAAGCCCAACTATCTAGATTATCCCCATTTCACAGATCTATAAGCTGAGGCAGAGGACTTAGGTTAAGAACTCGCTCTCAGAATTTTCTGGAAGCAGACCTTTGAGTGGTCCATGACTCTGGAGGCCACAGGAGCCCTCACCTGCAGCCAGCCTTGATCCTCTCAGCTCTCTCCCAACTTTTCTACCTGGACCTGCTGGTCAGCCAGCCAGTGAGGTCTTCAACTCTGGCCACCACTGCAGGGCCAGGAAACAGCCTTTGGAAGCCAAGTGGCAGCTCAAGGCCTCACCCTTGGTTGGGGAGCAGAGGTGATTTCCCCTAATACAACTTCCGGGGCATCTGCTGTCCTGTGCAGGATGGAGGGTGGCTGGGTGATTCTGGACACGGATTACTATGCTACTGTAACGCTTTCTCACCTGGAGCAGATGAATCTGAAAGAGGTGATGGCTTTAAATTTCTGGGTTTTTTTCTGTCTTGGTTGTAAGAAATAAGCTGTTAGCTTTGGTTAGCTTATTTTAGGCTCCTCTTCTAGGCCCTGAATTCCTATTTTATTTGCATTATTATATGCCTTTAGCATTTATCTTTCTTTAAAGTATGAGGCAGCTTAAATATTAAATTATTTCAAGCTCACCACTCCCCTCTTCAGGAAGTTTCCTCCAATAGTTAACCCCACCGGGCCCTGCCTGTGCTCCAAATCCCACAAGATTTATAGGTCTGTGTGGCATCACCTGGTTTCTGTCATTGTGAACAGCACGTCTGTCTGTAACGTCTGACTGTGCAGACTGCAGGCTGTGTTTGCCAGGGGCTGCATCGCTTGGCTTTCACAGGCTCTGAGGTACCCAGAGCCGTGCCACGCAGCAGCGCACACCCCTGTGGAGACCAGGACAGGCTAGTCGCCAATCTCTGAGGCGCACCGCGGCAGCGCTGCCCCCGTACTGTGATGATGCCGCCCTCATGAGCCTTCACAGGACACCAGTCAAAGAGTGATCTGCAGATAACAGCTGGTGAGAAACAGCTGGAATAACCTCCACTTTAACTCAACGTTTGGGTCTGAGCACAAAATTACCAGCAATAAGAACCAGAAAGTAGAACAGAACGTTACAAAAGGCAAACAAAACAATGAAAAAAGGACAACCTTCCTTCAGGTATAATTTTTCCCAACAATGTAATGCTAAACCCAACGAGAGCTCTGGGAAGGTGACACCCACTCCCGGGACAGCCCTGGCTCGCACCCACAGTCACGGGAAGCACCCTCCCCAGGACGCGCCGGGACGGGCTGGAACAGGTCAGCCTTCTCAGAGCCTCTCTTTCAGCACATTTCAGACGACAGGCATTCCTGTCTAATATATTGGATTTTGAATAATCACAGGCTATTACACTGTATTAACTGATGACATTTAAACACCTGTGATAAAACTAGTTAATATTTAGAAACTGTGGTTTCACTGGGGCAGAACAGAACTAATCACAATGATTTGGGGTATGAATCCAACACGATCTTGGGAAAAAAAAATTTAATGCAAATATTTAGCCATTAGAACATACAAATAAATAAATAAGCTCAGAATAGCCGAGAAAGAAAAACCAAGTAAGTGTAATTGCCCATTTCTCTTCAGTCCCAGATATTCCATTTCCAAAATACTGGTAATAAAATATACAAATTAACTAATAAGTAAAGAAGACATAGAACATTCAACATAAAACAACCTAAAATAAAAATAAAACCAAGGACAAACCCTAATTATTTTATTTCTGTATATCAAGACTACAAATAGCATTTAAACACTTAATTTATTATTCAAATTAAGAAATTATACATTTTGTTTTGATAATGGTCATTGTCTTAAAAGTGTCATTCAGTTTCCCCGCATTTAAAAGTATATTGCTAATTCTGGTCAATTCAACAGGACAGCCTACAGAGCTCCAGTGACGGGGAGACACCAGCGTGGAAGAGACGGGTCAGAACTCAGACTCCTCCGCACCCCACACCAGCACAGGGTCACTGCTCCCACAGTGACGCTCTGAAACGCTCTCGTTTTCAGAGACTGAAATCACCCAGCAACAAGTCAGGTCCTAATAAAGTGCCTTATTCTGAGAGAATTACCAACACTCCTCCCCGGGACAGGCGCTTGGGGACTGTCCTGTCTTCCTTCAAAGCAGCACTGTTGAGGAAGCAGAGGGTGCAGAAGTGTGGCAAGTTACCCCAAATCTCCAGGAAGACTGGCTGGTGCAGCCCAGGGGTGAGGAGGGCGGGCGAGCCTGGAAAGGCCCGTCCACAGCGGGCTGCAGTGCAGAGGAGCAGCCCGCCACTTTGGTTCAAGTGACTTGAGTGGACGCTGCAGTCTGTTCCCCTAAGTCATCAGTTATCGTAGGTCACATGCATGCCGCAGGAACTGGACGGAGACCCTCCCCCTCCCCGAAAGCTCTCCAGGCACAAAGCGGAGACAGAAATGGAGAAAGAATCAAGTACCCACCTCACACACATCCACACACAGTAATATCCAAACCATCATGATGCAGGCCAACGGTATACCGAAAATAAGCATGCTAGTCCCATTTTGGGGAAATGGCTTAAAAAGCACAAATAAAATATTATCATTGTTATCTATTTTCCAAACCTAACCACTCTGGAAAAGGCAGCAGGAAAAACAAATGCCTTTCATTTTAACAAGGAGGCGTGTAAACAATTCAACCACACGAGAAGCAGGGGCCCTGAGAGAAAGCATCTCCACCTCTCAGACCCTGTGTCTGCAGACCAAGCCGGTCTAAACCCATGAAGCAGGCGCTGCCTCTCCCAGGAGCCTCGCCAGGAGCCCCGCCAGCTCAGAAAGGGCTCGAATCCACCAGCAAAGCCAAAGCTTCATCTTTGGTTAATTTCACTGAGTTGCCGCTAGTCTCAAAACTGTGCTCTTCTTAGCAAAATTGCTCAATTAGCCACATGGCACATAACATTTGTTAAGTTATTTGAAACTCAGTGTCCATCTAAATAAGTGACCATGACTTAATAAACCACGTACAAACTGAAGGAAAGGGGTGAGGGAAAGCGGGGGGCTCAGGAGCTGTGCAAGTCCAGCCTGCGCATCCTCGTCGGCCTGGCAGGGGCTGCCTACGACGGAGGCACTGGGCATTTCTCTGCAGAGGGTCAGGTCCAGTCTCAGCTCAGCTCAGCTCAGCTCGAAGCCAGCAGCACACTCAATAGCATAGAGGAGTTTGCTTCGCAGAAGCGCCTCATCGTAAAACTCGGGGAGCTTCAGCAGGTTCATGCAGGTGCTGGCAGTGGGGAGCCTCTCGAGGTCGGAGCCTCCGTTGTGAATGCAGAATGCGGGGTACAGCTCCTGAAAGACAGCAGGTGTGCAGGACATAGTTCACAAGCGTGGCCTTGAATGAATTTTTAAAAGCACACAAAACTTGCTTGCTTCAAACAGTGAAAAGTTACTACAGTCACATTTTCCCAAAAGGACATTCGCCTTTTTTATTGCACTCAAGACTTAGCTCTAAATTATACCAAATATTGTGCACTGTGCTTCAGTGCACAAGGGGATGAAGAATAACATTCATTCACGGGAAACATAACCTTTGCAGTGAACAGGGCCTCTAAAGGTTTTGTTTTTTAGTTTTTTAAAAGTTTGTTTAAAATTCAAAAAGGTACAAGGGTACAAGGGTAGAAAGTTGAATATATATACCTATTTGCTTATATTTAAAACACAGGAAAGACAGAAGCTGCCCCCGGGGGAGGGAAGGAGCAGGGGAGGGACAGGAGTAAGCCAGCGTTCTCCAAACGGACCACATCTTATGGACTGGTCTCGGCACCATGTGGACACAGCAACAAAAACCATAAAACAAATTCAGTCGAAAGGGGAGAAAAAAGCAATCTCTAAATATTGAAAGCAAAATGAAACAAATGAACCTGTTTATTGGAGGCTGAATCACACAGAGAGGAATTATTTCTCGTGTTTTAGAATTGCAAAGAAATCTTAAATTGTTTACAGAAATGTCTTAGTAAATTATTGGTATTGTTCTAAAACCGTTATGGTACTGTATGACCATTATACTATGTACAACTATAACTTACTGTAGGATCCTAGAACTTATGAGATCAAGCAAATGAACTAACAAGAACCAAGACTATCATTGGTAAAAAGAAATCCAAATATAAAATCAAAGAAATAAAATCTTATAAAGCCTAAATTTGAATTGGAAATATCAGTTTGAACTTGTAATGAATTTTTCTCTTAGGTAAAAAACCACGTATTTCCTAGCTCTGTCCACTGAAAAGGCCTGGAAGCAATGACCACCCGTGACAGTGAGCACACCAAGTGCCCAGGTTCTGGTCTCTACAGATCCATTTCTCAACAAAAGGACCAGGGCTCCTTGGGAAAATACCTGATTCCAGATGTGGGCCATAAAATGTACACAAGTGTACATAACAAGTGTTATGATCCTGTCATACTAGAAAGCAAGAAAGCTGCCCAAACGACTCGGGTTATGGTAAAAAGATTCACAGGCCCCTTGAAGGCATTCCCCTTGCCCAAAGATGGGCACTCCAAATATCAGAAAGAGTAACTACAATGAATTAAAATACATCAAATGGTAAAGCCCATGAGTTCATAACGATAAAAAGGAACCAAAATGTAGTAGTTGCCTTTAGAATATGCCAGTTAACCGACTCAATATTCTGAACACTGGTAGACGAAGAACATGCAAGATTTATTTTATCTTTTCTGTACAAATGGTCCTCAGAGTAACCAAATAGTTGATGAGAAAAATAAAGTTTTCCTTTATAGAAAATTTCAGCTAGGAAATGATATAACTGGAATATGGCTGCTGTAAAACCACATTAAAGAAGGGATCTAGGCAACGACCATCAGTGACCGCTGAAGTCAGTAGATGTCAGGGCGTTGCGAGTTCTGTAATAGACGGATCAGGCTGACCACACCTGACCAATCCCGGCATCTCAGACAGGCGACTCACAGACACTGGGTCTCTGATGTCGAAGTGAGAAAATGTGAAGTACATGAGGTTATCTACACAATGTTATTGCAAAAAAGAAAAATTCAAGTCTAGAATCTGATGAAACCTCTAACTATCAGTTTACAAGATATACAAAGAAGCAATCCAGCTCCTCCATTAATTAACTTACAGGGCACGATAGAAGAGGGAGCGGACACACAGTGAGAAAAGATTCAAGAGACGCAGCAAACAAACGTGCTGTGTGGACAGCGGCTTGTTTGTGCAGGAGCACTGAAGGTATTGAGGAATTTATGTTGTTATTTTTAGACATGATAATGACAGTCTAGTTATTTTTTTAAGGTACAGTATAAGAATTCTCATCCCTACCTCCCAGCTGCCCAGTTCCCCCTCTCATGAGCAACCAATGCCATGGGTGTCTTAAATACCTTCCCATAGAGATTTTTTTTTTTGTGACGAAGATCGGCCCTGAGCTAACATCGTGCTAATCCTCCTCTTTTTGCTGAGGAAGACCGGCTCTGAGCTAACATCCATTGCCAATCCTCCTCCTTTTGTTCCCCCAAAGCCCCAGTAGATAGTAGTATGTCATAGTTGCACATCCTTCTAGTTGCTGTATGTGGGACGCGGCCTCAGCATGGCTGGAGAAGTGGTGTGTCGGTGCGCGCCCGGGATCCGAACCCGGGCCCGCCAGTAGCGGAGCTCGTGCACTTAACCGCTAAGCCACGGGGCCGGCCCCCCCATAGAGATTTAACGTAGAGACAAGAAAAGATTTTCTCCCTTCCCCATTTTAAAAACACAAAATGTCAGCACATTACATACACTGTTCTGTACCTTGATAATTTTTCATTTGATAATTTCTTTGTGATCTTCCTGTAACAATCCAGTGTCCTCATTCTTTTTTTGAGGCTGCATGGTATTCCCTTGGCCGTATGCAGCACAATTTGTTGATGGACACTTACGTTGTTTCCAACTTTTTACAAATAATGATGCAGTGAATAACCATGTGCTTAAGGCATTTCACACTTGTGCAAATGGATCTGCACGCTAAATTCCTAAACGTTAGACAATGATAAATGTAGATGACTACGTGAGATCTGTGGCAATGTCCAACCCTTGATGGTTACAAACAACCAGTGACTGTATCTTTCTCTTAACACCATCATCCTTAGATACAAGACATGATTTATATGTCCCCTTCCCACAGGAACACATGAAGTGGGGACTGTCTTTATCCGGAAAGCCTCAATCTGCTAACTCTCAGGCCTGCGTGGGTTTGCCCTCCATTACTACAGGATTTCAGAGACCTAGCTAATTCAACTCCTTCATCGCAGCTGTGTAGAACACAGGCCCAGAAAAGCAAAATGGCGGCCCAGCACAGGTGCCTGGTTAGGAGCGAGACCCAGGATGGTTTCACCTCCAGTTCGGTGCCTTCTAAACTGTAACATACTTCCTCCTTAGAGCTGTGACAAGAGGACAGATGCTTCAAATGCCAGTGTAACGGAAAATCTATTCAACAGTCCCTGCTGACACTGAGGACTGCTAACACTTTCTCTGAACCCTCCTCTCCAAGGTGTAACCTGGCATAACTCTTTGTGAGGACAGCCTGGCAGTATGTATTAGGAGTGTAAACATAACCATGTCCCCTGACCACGACCTCTACTTTTAGGACTGTCTTCTAGGGAAATAATCAGAGACGCAGATAATAATTTATGCACAAAGATGTTCACAGCATTATAAAGAAGGAAGAGTTATAAACAACTAATAAAGAACAGCAAGTAAATTGTGGTAAACTCATATGATGGGACATCATGAAGTTTATTAAAAATATTTCAAAGACTACTTAGTATGAGGAAAAATGATCCTGATGTAATGTTGATAAAACTGAACACGTGATACAGCTTAAATTATATTTAAAAATTATGTATATCTACATAAACATATATATACAGATACAAAGACACATTCATGTAAAAACGTGATAATGGCTAGAATGGGAGAGATTATAGGTATTTCTTTCTTTCTTTTACTCAACCACAATTTCCAATTTTCTATAATAAAAACATTGATTTCATTATAAGGAAAAAATCAAACAGTATAAAAAATAACTACCAGGCCGGCCCCGTGGCTTAGCAGTTGGGTGCGCGCGCTCCGCTGCTGGCGGCCCGGGTTTGGATCCTGGGCGCGCACC